GAACTGATCTGATATGAACTGATCTGAGGTCAGTTCTCTAAACTGATATGAACTGATCTGAGGTCAGTTCTCTAAACTGATCTGAACTGATCTGAGGTCAGTTCTCTAAACTGATCTGAACTGATCTGATATGAACTGATCTGAGGTCAGTTCTCTAAACTGATCTGAACTGATCTGATATGAACTGATCTGAGGTCAGTTCTCTAAACTGATCTGAGGTCAGTTCTCTAAACTGATCTGACATCAGTTTTCTAAACTGATCTGACATCAGTTTTCTAAACTGATCTGAGGTCAGTACGTGCAGCCGAAGTCTGAATAATATTCGCCTCATATTAAGCCTCAGACGGTCCTTTAACTTCAGGACTCCAAGTCCACCATCTTTATTATGTAATCAGATTATTAGAATTTTGGAGGAACTCATGAAAATTATTCTCAGAAACCCGAGAAGTCTTTAAATTAAAAGAGCAAACGTTCATCTGTGTCTTCACTCACTAATCCAGAACCTGAAACTCGAGGCTTGAGGTGGTAAACAAAGTAAACGTTGTGAAGATTTTTGTTTACAACTCGTGGAAAATCTTTTATAAAAAAGTGAATTTTTATATTTTATAAAAGCAAAAACAAAAGAAAAGCTTGAAATACTTTTAAAAAAAAGCAGAAGGGGTGAAAACGTTTGAAGTGCACTGTATCTGCAACAGGTAGGATATTTATAGTTCTTCACATTTCAGAAATGTTTAAAAATGATTTTAAAGTTGAATAATTTTATTTTCGGAAGCATTTGACTGAATCAAACGTTACATTTCTTCAGTCGGTCTCAGTTTGTTGGTGTCTCCACTTCCAGCCCAACAGAACTTTCTGAGAGATTTCAGTTCAGAACGGACCGGCTTCTTTCAGACATTAAACGTGGCGCTGCGAGGACCGTTCACTGGACTCATGTCTCTGCGGAACATATGGAGCTGGCTGGTGGGGGGGGGGCAGAGGAGGAAGAGGAGGAGGAGGAGCATTAGCAGCTGAACGTGGGATCATGAGGAGGCCGGAGGGCCCAAATGAAGTGTTTACCAGAAAAGAGCAGACTGATCTGAAAAAACATAAATCTGAAGAGATTTAGATAAACAGAACCAAAGTTCTGCTGCAGAACTTCAGCTGCAGTAGAACCTCAGCTGCAGTAGAACCATGGCAGAACTTTAGCTGTAGCAGAACTTCAGCTGCAGTAGAACCATGGCAGAACCTTAGCTGTAG